CTACTGAAAATGAATGGCTCCCTAAAACAAATAGCTGACATACAATCTGATCATGTAGGTGAAAACCCCGCGCCTCACCTTTTAACAACTGTTCACGAGACTACATTTAAACTTTCATATCACATGATGCATCCCATCAATCCGTCCGCGTGCAGCGATGCCTCCAACACGCATGCTCGTCTGCACGCCGCCTAATGTCCGTTCATCGTGGTTATGTGACCATTAGCGCTTTTTAAAACGGCTGCACTCCACGTTATGCGCTGAAATGTTTCCTTTGACATTATAAAGCAGACATTTTACCCTTTGGTAATTTCAGAATTTTACTTTTTAATCAGAAAGTTATTCAGTAAATCAATTTTTTGAGCTGAGTTGGAATGAAGCAGCTCCGTGGCGAAGATGCAGAATGACCGTCATTAGGCGGCTATATGAGTAGAGAAGTGCAGCTTATTCACATCGTGTGTGGGAATACATGTATGGTGACAAATACCTCTTTTGGATGTATAAAATGCCCTGTTCCCAACATGATAGCTTTTGTTTCTGTGAAGTCATCGTGTTCTTTTTTAACTTCACGTGATTAGAAACACATCATCTGCCCGTGTGTGTGTGTGTGTGTGTGTGTGTGTGTGTGCAGGACGGTCGTAGTCAATTTATTTACTCTATTCTCATTAACATGGAGACAAAGGGGCTTGGTAGATCACACAGCGATCGATCACAGACTGAATAAACACCTCTCCTCCCTCTTTTTCTTATTCTGTGGTGCCAGGGACCTATCACTACATTTTAATTAATCTCATCTTTACAGCTTTTCTTCTGTGTACGTAACAATTTGAGCCAAAAGAAAACCTTGTTTGAGCTGAAAATTACCAGCGTAATGCACCGCAGGGGCAGAAAGCATACTGTTTTATAGAGAGATGGGGAATGTAGAGAAGGGCAAAGAAAAGCTGCAAAGTTTTTTTTTTTCTCTCTTTTTTTGATCAAAGAAGCTGATGGATTTGTCTGCAAGTAAAGCATTTAACTTTAATAGCATTTCAGCATGAAAAGGTTTGGCCTATTTCTTCCACTTACGTCTAATATCTGCTGTTCTGTATTGGTCTATCTTTCCCAGTTTCATAACCAACAGAAAAAAGAAAAAACAGCTAGAGTGACTGAAACACTGAGTAACTGTTTCCCAAACTGAAACACACGAAAGCATGAAATTGGTCATTTTCTCCTCATAATAGTGCCATTTCTGTTACAAGTTGTCTCACACAGCTCAAGTCCCTCACAGCACACGTATTTTTTTTCATCTTCCTTTCTTTGTAGATCACAAACCGCTACATCTATGATACCGTGTTGCTGCTGGCCAACACCTTCCACAGAAAGCTGGAGGACAGGAAGTGGCACAGCATGGCCAGTCTAAGCTGCATCAGGAAGAACTCCAAACCGTGGCAGGGAGGCAAGAGCATGCTGGATACTGTCAAAAAGGTAAGAAAAAAAAAAAAAAACGAGACAGAGAGAAATGCACACATTTTCTTTTTCTTTGCAAGAAGTTTCGAAGCTTGTGCTTGGCTGCTCCTCCACATGAGAACACAGAGGTAAGCAGGAGGTGGTTCCACAAAGCAGACTTCCGGAGCTCTTCTATAGTGTCACATTTCTTAAAGAGTATATACGGTATTATCCTGCCTACTTAAGCACATTTCACTTCCTCATTAAACCGATTGTTCAATTCAGCAATATTCTCATTGGTACCGATGTTGAGAGGAGCACTTAGAAGAAGAAGTACGCAGGTGTAACGGCGACCACAGGAAGGTGCAGCGGAGAGCGACGAGGTGTGACAATGGCTTCCAGATTGACAGACCGCTCGGAGCAGCGTGGCAGTCGGTCAGAAAACACACTTCTAGGCAGATATGGTGTAATTGAACAAATATAGGAACTGGCAGCGAGCAGGATGGCGAGAACAAAGGCAGCAGTAGGCCCGTTGGAGGCGAACGGTGCCTCGCCTGGAAAGCTGACGAGAGCAGGCGGCAGCAGCAGGGGGGCAGAGACAAAAAAGCTGCAGTCAAAGCAGCGGCATCGAGGCTGTGCGGGGAGCCTCTGCTGAAACGTTCAGAACCGCTTCGATCCGATCCCAGTTTAAGAAAGTGTCATTGGAACAGTTTGTGTGCAGTCTTCCAGTGTTTTAACTGTGAGAGGGTGACTACTTAAAATACAATCCCTCTTCAGTCCTGTATAAACAGTAAGTCAGCAGATCTGTCCCTCTGAAATTACATCAACATTATACAAAACTTTAGTAAATGCAGAGGAAAGACATTCAGTCGTGACTCGATAATCCGACACTAAATGTAAAACCTTCTTTTATGTCGGATAGTCAAGATGGAGGTCGAGATACAAGGAGGGCTTGATGCTTGAAGGTCATTTGTTGTCCATATTTATTGTTCATAGTTGTTATAATAACTAGTGTATTGTTAGAACACTATGCTGGATTTCACACCTAATTGACTGATTGTGCATGGACCCGTCGGTTGCCATCAAAGGTAAATACGTTCAGACAGCAGGCTGAAGTGACCCAAATCCGATTTTTTTTTCTCCTATGCAACCTGTATCTGATCTTTTCATGACAGTCTGAACAACACAGATCCAATTAATGATGAATATCAGAACATTCGGCGGGACACTTCCACCCAGGGGAGCGCTCCGACGGAGTGGAAGTGGCCAGAATGCACGGGCAGTACTTGGCTGCTGAAGCTGGTTTAGTTACACTTCTGTTTCCACCATAGGCGGCGGCAGGGCGAGTGGCAGATACGCTCCACCGTTAACATCCGTGTTTACTTCTGCAAACACTGAGCACGCTCGTTACGTGTGACGTCGTTGTGTCCTCTTCTGCATATGTGGGACACTTTTGAAGTTCACACAGCAGATAACATACAAGTCGTGTTTAATTGGAAATGTGAACAAACTCGGATTTCACAAAAAAATCTAAATTGAGCATTAAGTCCTGCAGTCTGAACGGAGCCAATCTGTGGGATTGTTCAATCAGATAATACGCCGTTATCCTTATTTGTGACATAAAATGTCGTGTCGGAATCCAAGGCTGTCGGTATGTTAAGGCTGTTATTCATGGGTTCCATTCGTTTTTCCAAATAACCTGTGGGATAGCAAGGTTTAGGATTGTTAAGGGTCGAATTATCGAGTCACAACTGTACATGTAGACCTGCTTAGATGCCCAACTACTGGAAAAAAAATCTGTAAAATCCATCCAAAATATGTTGAATTAATAAATATGTTAGATGTTAACACTATAGAATTGGTCAAAAGTGATCTTCAACTGTATACGTGTACCAACAAAAAGAAAAGGCCAACAAAAATTCATGCATTCATATTCTCTGTTCCCTGGTATTCACCTTACTGTGGTAAGTGCTATGAGATGAGATATGGTGTGAATTGGCTCTGTATAAAAAAACTAAACTGAACTGAATATTCTTCAGGGTGGCAGTGTCAGGTATGTATGGTGCAAATGGACATTTTAAATGAAAGCTAAAGCTAGAAGAATATACATCAGAGGGAGAATCTTTCTCCTCAGCGAATGTGGTAAAGGAGGATGTTTGCAACTATTTAGAACAACACAGTCTGCTGACAGCTGTAGTGGACAACCTGGCTGAACTGTGTTGAAATTGATTCCATTTGTTTGTTCTTTCATCCGTATGATTTTTTCTATCTGTCCGTAAGCAGTTAAAAGTTTGAGAATGATGTATAATTTATGGACAATCTGTTCGGTTTAGCTTTATGTTGGATGTTTAGACTGGCAGGGCTTCACATCTTAACATATGTTAGTTTAAGAATCCTCACATCCCACTCTCCAGAACTTTTTGTATTGTTAAATACTTTAAGAATTGAATCCATAGTCTCAGACCGGATACAGTAAACTTAAACTGGTACAACGTGTGCAGTCTGTAATCTGCAATATAAGCAATCTGTGGAGCGCAAATGTGGCTCCTGAATCTAAAACTTGCTGCCACCGTCATCATATGAGGTTATTGTTGCCCACATTTGCATCAAATCAAATCAAGTTAGGATCAAGTTGGACAGACGTCTAACAAGC